TTGTTTTAATAGTGGTACTTGGAATCCAATCTAGGGCCTTGTGCAGGCCAGGCAAGTGTTCTGCCACTAAGTTACATCCTCATTCCTTTGTGCGTTTTAATTTCCTGGACATCTGTTTGAATCCATTTCATGCATTCTATTTCTTTCCTGTTTGATTGTTCACAGTTTCTCTGTGTGTTTTAAAATAATTATCTATTTCCTAAATTTTTTGAAATGTAGTTATATTACCTTTATAATGAAAATGTATATATGAGGAAGATATATATTAGTCTGTGTTTATATCTAGGTAAAATGTCTTAAAATGCAGTTCATTCCAGATAACTACACACTGCCTAGGCGAGATTTCTCAAAGTAGATTTTATGGAGCTCTGTGCATGTTAATAGCTGGTATGGAAAAACTGACAGTTCAGTAACCACAAACACGACGTAAGCCTGGCCATAGTAACTTAACCAAATTGAAACACATACCACTACAAGGCTCCACAGTGTCTTCATTTAACATGCTAAAGGACCCCGATGCTTCAGAGATTTTAGTGCAGTATTTCCCACGCTTGTTTAACCAGGGAATTTTTTCTCCTATCTTTCTTTTGTCATTCTCATACGATTAATGCTCTTCAAATTCTGAGGAAAGCTGTCCTAGGCCCAGCTGAGCCACAAAAACAAGTGTGTGTCACACTTGAGAAAGGCCTTAAGTCACAGCAGCTGAGGTAAGACCAAGTGCTGCCAGTGATGTGCAAGGAGCCTGGCAGAAGTGTCAGAACCATGTGAAGGAAAGAAACCATTCAGGGGCCATGGATAGCAATGTCAGAATGTAGTGCACCAATGCCCCTGAAACGTGCACATACTCCCACCAGCTAAGAAGCATGGGAGAGGTGGCCACATAAGCCAGCCAAGCGCTGACACTTCTACTTATGCTGAGGCCAAGAGGGCCCGTGTAGTTATATAATAGCAACACAGATACAGGTCAGGGGATTGGAACTACAGCTCAGATGAGAAAACTGCTCCTGTGGGGCTAGGCGGGAGCTGTGTCTCATTCTTTTCTGTTCTCTTGAAACCTGGCACAAGCCCAGGAATCAAATGTGAACTCTGAGTCTACAGGAGTGGGGTTCTGAAGACCATGGTCATGCTCCTGGAGAATTCTGCAGCATATGGGTAGGAGGCCACAGGAAGAGCCTCAGTACAAGACGGAGGCAGATGAAGGTCTTCAGAAATCCTGCTTGGAGCCAATCCACCCTTTCTGACAGTGAATTGTTTGCACAAAAATAGCTTAGGCCTTCCAAGTGAGGGGTTAGGCTTGAGTACACCGGAGCAGACCAGAGCACTAAGTCCAGACCCACAACCTGCTAGACAACTGAAAGAAGAGACTTGCAGGGTGACTGGGGAACCACTGCCCACACTCCCTGGAAAATCATGGTGGGGGGCTGTGAGTGGTCTTAGAAAACTAGGAATGGGATAACATTTTCCTAAAACATGGAAGAGGAAACTTGTGGAAATTATAATGTAGGCAATATCAAGGTGACACCTGACAAAATTTCAGAATGGGTTATTAGTAGGTTTGTGAAAACTTGGAAAATAAAAAGGGGACTAGAAAGAGTGGGCAATGGGCTTACCTAGAAGAAGACTTCTGCATGCAACTCTTCAGCCTTTTAACTCACTTTCAAGAATATAGTATTTCTCAAACTTCTGGGGGGATGATAAGAATTATTTTTCAATAAAGATTGCCAGGCCTTTCTTCTGGAAATTCTGATTTAGTCCATTATCTTTCAGAGTTAGGAATCTTTCTAAAAGTGCACCAGGGATTTCTATCACTACATCCTGACTTCTGTATCACCCCGGCACAGGCCTTTCCTGGAGACCAGGACCTGACTCCCGGCTCTGCCACTGGAAGATGTCACCTAATGGCTAGGCCTTGGTTTTCTATGATAAATAAAGAAGCTGAAGCACACTCTGAAGAAATACAGAGGAGAGCACCAGACAGGGCCAATAATCACCCATACTCCACAGGGGCTCTTCCAGAGGCCACAGGCCTCTCCCAGGGCTCTTGTCTCCGGGGTACATGGGATGAAGAGAATGCAGGAAACTGCTAATAGAAGCACCAGCTCAGAAACAAATCAAAAAGAACACTGTGGGCTGCAATAAGACACCCAAACTAGGGAGAACAAATTTAATAGTGGGTAAACTGGCAGATCTGGGAACTCTTGGAATTTATTGGGACAGCAGGTAACAGGATGCCCCAGGGGTCTCTCAGAAAAGCAGTAATGTTCCAGAACAGCAAGAAACACTAGATATGGAGACTGAGATATAGGATGATAAAATGTTCACAGAGTGGTCTGCAATTCTAACAGGTATCCTACAATTTATGCTGGGAAACATTTCATGGATTTTAATGTCAGAAGGGTCTCTTGAGCCCAGTTATCACAAAATTTCCATTTTACAGATGAGGAAGTAGAGATACAGAAAATAGGTTCATGGTCACACGGTTAGCATGTGACATAGCCAGTGGCTACAGCCTGGTGTCTCAGCTCCCCACCTGGTGTTCTTCTCTTTCGACATTATGCTGCATATCATCCTGGCTTTCATCTCTCTGAGATCTACAAATCAAGGCTTGGAGGAGGCATCATGACTGGTCGAAGCTGCCTATCCTATATCAAACTGGATACCAAACTCATTTTAATGAGACTTTTAAAAAAAATTAATCACCTGGGACAATGGTTCCAAATTCATTGTACTGAATGAACTCTCTGTTCTCTGCAACCACTAAAGCAGGACTGGAATAAGACCGGGAGGCTTGGAGATGGTGGCACAGAGAAAAATCAAAAGCTCTGAGCTATCCCTAATTTGGGCTCTGTAGGCCCTACTCATGGTGCTACTCCATGTGCGCTGAGGCACATGCAGTAACTCTTGGTGCTCTAAGTAATGTTCTGGGGCCAACAGTGTCCTTCTCAATAGGACAAGTAGTTTTGGCAGCTGTCACTGTGTGGGCTAAGTAGGTGAGACTGCCCTATGGATTTAGGACACTGAACTGGAACGTTTTCACAGGTCCTTGGGCTGAGGACCCTCCTGGATGGGTGGGTCTGTGGCATTTGGTAAAATGTCTCTGTGCACGAGGCAGGACTGGAAGCACCTTGAGACTCAAACACTGTGATGATGCACTGGGGTCAGATGGCTCTGCTGTTGGGCTTCCTTTATAATCCCATGTGTCCAAGTGCAGTCCCTAAAGAGAGTTCTCCTGAAAGGGTAGCAACAACTATGGACTGACAACCTTGATAATCGTCACACATCATCCTACTCAGAATAAATTAAGTAACAAGGTTACCATCTACATGGGAGCAGTTTCCACAAGATAAAATTTTAGGTTTGCAGGATGAAGAATTTATTGGTGTATGAAATGGAAAGATAAATAATAAAAATAACACAAGGGAGTGCAAGGTTCAAATATTGTAATGTTAACTTGTTTGTTCTGAGCACACAGGATATTCATAACCTCAGTGACAGCAGAGTACCTTTTGCTTTAAGATGTCCACTGGCGTCTGATGGGCCTTTAGCTTCTTGTTTTTAAGAAGCACTTTCCTCCTAAGTTGGTCGGGTGAGGGAAGCATTGGATCATCTGAGAAATCAGTTTCAAATAAGAATTTAGCCACCAGCTTTTCTCTAAACACAGTCTAAAAATAATATAGGAAAAACACACAAAATCAATGCTTTTTATCTACACTTGATAAATACAGTTTTATTTCATAAGTCTATTCAATTTTTCAACTTGGTTGAATTGTTTTAAAAATTTCAGGAAGAGGAACTAGGAAAGAAGTTGTTTATTCTCTCAGTCTCTCTGTATAGCTTCTTACTGGAAGGAAGGGAGGTGTTTACTATGGAGGAGAAATCTAGGCTATTCTGCAGCTGGGGGCAGATCTAAAGACTTGGGAAATTGTTTGGCAGCATGATAAATTATAAAGAAGACAGAGATTCAGTTAGAGGTTGTGGCTTGTAGAATATGGTCTGTTCCAAATGAGGCTAAGGAATCAAGCAAGACAGAAACTCTGGAGGGGACTGGAGTAGGGACAAAGATGAAAGACAGTGGGGAGAATTTGCCCCCACACATGATAAAGAGCCACATTCTCACAAAGCATTCTGAGCACTGGCCTCCGAAGCAGAATGTGTCTCTCAAGGAGGTGGATGGAAGGAGGGTAGACATAGCATGATCAACTGGGTAAAGACAGAAAATATAGCAATTTTTAAAAGTTTTTTTGAATTAAAAAAGAATAAGCATCAAAGCTTAGGCCAAGGCAATATGAAGAGCTTAAATTTTGTTGGCATTTATATTTGGGGACATTTCCCTCTGCCCTGTACTGAAAGACAAGCTTCCACAAATACTAGTATTACTGAGGAAGAATGAGTTTAATGAAATATTGAGATATCTGCTGCTAAATCTGTCTTCATTCTACAACTTTTAGATAATGAAGGTTGGTGTTAACACAGCAACTGTTCTGCTCAATCTAAATCTTGCTAATTTAGATTCATACTATACTGTGGGTCACAAGATGATCTGACTTACTTGCTCTGAAATATTTTTGTATTTTCTACTTAATGCTCCCAGGATATCTGGCATCCCTCACTTGCTGTTGGAAAGTTGGAAAGTTGGCTTGTCCTTAACTTGTAAGGCTTTCTGGAGTTAGGAGACCATAGAACAATGCTTATGTCTCCAGCTGAAAAGAGGGACCATTCTAGATGTGGCCCAAGCTCCCCAAGAAAGCCTTATTCCTCAAGTCTGTGGGACTCTAACAGCATGTGCCTCAGGGCCAAAGCAGAGCTGTAGTGTGGTATATAATAGCCTCATAGCCTCATATAAAACCCAAAGATAAGATACCATCTTGCCTCTTAGGTGGGAGCTCACCTTGAAAATTTCTGCCATTTTTCGTTGCTGAGGCAATGAACAGTGGTTCTCAATGGATATGATGATTGGCAGGTCAGAGTTGATAAAGGCACTGCGATCAATGGCTTCAACCACTTCCTACGATAGCCCAAACAACTTGTTAGAGTCAGATATCTGTCTGGCATGGTGAGAAGGCAAGGTACGTGTAGCCCCTGAAAGCATCTCAATTGTTGCATTCAATAGTCTCTTGTCAAAGGTGATTTTATCTTTTCAAACATAAGTCAGCACAGAAGATGAGACACACCAAAACTGTGGGTGGAGGCAAATCTAAAGAGAGCCAGGTTTCAAAATGGAGATGTAAAAGCCAGGCCTGCAGGACTCCTTAGAGATAAATAGCAGTGTGAGATTATACTGTCACTGACATTAGGCACATAGGTGGGTGACCAGAACATCGGGACTCATACTTCCACCTCTTTCCAGGAATGTCTTTGGTCTATGTACCTTTGCTACATGACATTTTCCTAACTGGATCAATCTCACCTATGGAACTATACCTGTAATCCTATAGGTTGATTGTAGTTTGACCCATGTTGTACACATGTGATCTTGCTGCATAAATTACCCTTGACAGAGAGCCTCCGTGGCCACCCACTCGGGAACCCTCCTGGAAATCTAAGATTTATAAATAAACCCTTATTTATAATAAAATTCTCTTAACTTCCTCTTTTGGTTTGAGACTTCATTCCTCAACATTGTGAGACCACGAACTTGGCACACTGGACATCTAACAGGTTGGGAGTGATTTTTGCATCACAAAGGGAGTGCTGAGGGAGTGCCGCATTACCTTGAAGGGGATCTTTGTTGTCAGTGTATGTCCATGATAAATGATGGGCATTCCGTCATCTCCATCCCAGCAGTCTAGCTCTATGCTTCTGCAGCCTTGCAAGAGGACCTGTGTGACAATGAATAAATCTACTTCAGACGAATACCTGGAGATGAAGCCTCTAACTGAATCCAGCACAAAGCTCTACAGCATTTATGTCAGTCAGCATTTACCTTCAGGTATAAGGCCAAAGATTATAAGATCTAAAATAAGTATTTTGTTTTTTCTAAAGGCCACAATTAATTTGGGGTGGGAAAAGGAAAGAACAGGTTAAGGTGGAAAAGAGTGTTTACCAGAGAGAAATACTGCTGGAAGGTAAAATCAATCCATCTCTCTCTCTCTCTCTCTCTCTATCTCTGTCCATCTAGGTAAAATCAATCCATCTCTCTCTCTCTCTTTCTCTCTCTCTCTCTATCCATCCATCCATCCATCCATCCATCCATCCATCCATCCATCCATCCACTGGAGCAACCTCTTCCACCATAGACTTTATTTGTAGATTAATTTAAAAATTATCATATAAGCAGGATATGATGGTGCAGTCCTATAATCCCAGGACTCTGGGAGGCTGAGATGGCAAGTTTGAGTCCAGTTTGGGCAGACCCTGCTTCAAAATAAAAAATAAAAATGGCTGGGAATGTAGGTCAGTGTGAAAGCTTTGGGTTCAGTCCTCTGTACCAGGGGAAAAAGTCCTCAGAATCAAACAAATAAACCAAGGAGTTGATATACCTGTGATTGGGCTGACCCACTGATCTGAGAATCCATGTTTCCAGGTGACAATAATCCATTATTGGATTTAAGTGGCCACTGAAGTTTCTACAGCAAAACTCAGATGGTGGAATGCCTTCTATTTAAATAGTTTTTGTATGAAATACATGCTAGATTTTTCACATTACATAGCATGGTCTGTGGCTTAAAATCCCAAGGTTACCAGCTTCTAGAAGCAGTTAGTGTATCTACAGGTAAACTGCCTTGGGCAGTAACTGGAGCATAAGCCTGCCTCATTTTGTAGGGAGCCTTCTAGACTAGGAAAAGTGTTCAGCATGATTTGTCAGCATGAAAAGACTAAAGGTCTTTACCAAAGTCTGTATGACCTTAAAATCTCTCTATATGGCTAGAAGAGGAAAACCAGGGCTAGAAATTCCAGGGAAGTGCAGGGCCTACTCTCACTTTCCATCTGCTTTCGTCTGCTTTACAGAGAAAAATGATAGAAGTTAATTATGAGGTTTGAGGGAAGGTGGAAAGCGGTTAGAAATGAAGTAAAAGTGATCTGCATAAGAGTTTAATCATGTGTGTGAGTCTACTTGAGGGGTTCCTGTGTTTTATTAAGAAACTGCTTGGGATGTAACATTAAGGGGGCTTAAAAAATTCCCCCATCGCCCCCAGGACCGGGCCTTTGCACAGAGCTACATCTCTAGCTCTTTTTAAAATTTTGAGACAGGGTCTTGCTAAGTTGTCTGGGCTGAGCTCAAACTTGTGATTATCCTATCCTCAAACTCTCAGAGTGCTATTTAAAAACTCTTTGAAGGCAAACAATGAAATCAGACTGAAGCTAAGACATTGGTCCTTGCTTCTTGTCTTGGAATACAAACACACACAGGTTTATAGATATACACAGATATATATGTATGTACTTACATATATGCCTAAATACACTCATGTGTATGTACATGAATGAATATGTATGTGTGTATATATGAAATATATATGATCTATATTTTCATATACATCTTTCATTTCTTTTCCATAGAACAAATTTCAAACTTCTTTTGACTAGATTTCTCTGTGCAAATAGAAGGCTAATATATAAAGCATGTAAAAGAGTAGCACCCTGCAGCAGTGGGGCAAGATACTGACCCATCCTACTTTGTCGCTCTTTTTCTTGCAGTTGAGACCTCCTGACAGATTCCTTTTTTGAAAATCATTACTGTAAGGATGCATTTTCATTTCACAATAACTTTTCCTTAGAAAACAAAGATTTAAAATTTTTTTTATCTATTTATTTTTTGAGACCTGGTCTTGCTATGTACTTCCGGCTGGCCTTGAACTTGCTTATGTAGCCTAGGCTGGTCTTGAACTCATAGTGTTCCTCCTACCTCAGCCTCTCAAGTGCTTGGATTATAGGTGTACACTACCATGCCCAGTGAAAACAAAGTTTAAGATATATATTCCATGCTAAATAAACTTTAGGTCAAAAATGCATCTCATGCCATGAGGAATATCTGGACTCATCTGAGAACAAAGGAACCTCATTGCTGCTGAGTTGTGTACACAATACAGTTATCGTTTTCAACTTGGACCTTCCCTACCCCCAACCACACAGGTCTATCTGCTGGAGCTAACTTAACTCCCTCCTGATTAACCCTTTCTGTAAGAATTCAGAAAATAGGCAGCATTGAAGAAAAAGTTCCAGACAGTGTAACAGTGAGTCAATAGACATGCACATCATTGAGAGTTGGATGTTTAAGTGGAAAGGATGCCAAAAGGATGTGTGTTTCCCAGTCCAGAGAGCCTACTGTTTCAGAGAACATTCCCATGAACTTTAATGTGGAGAGATAGTGCCTTCAGTCGTAACAAACAGACAGTGCCTTAATAAATTGTAAAGCAAAACAACAATATTTTGGGAATAACTACATTAGAAAGTTGTATTTTCTACTATGATTTTCCACTACAGTATATTGATTTATTTAGCATTTAATGAAACGATTAGATAATTTTCTCATGGGAAAATCTAATTTTAGTAGTACTAGGTCAGGATCTAAAAGCTATGAGTCTCAAATAGTTTTTTCCTCCCTAGTATAGATAGAGGGCAAAACAAAACAAACAAATACAGAAGACAACTGCATAGTCAGTTTTTCCACACACCGTGCTTCCTCATATTTCACATGCCATAATACAAGCTCTTCAAAGCTGGGGTCAGACTTTTGTGATTTGGGGGTAATATAAATGATCAAATTTAATAGAAACTACATTCCAACTGGCATTTTCAGTACCTGGCTATAGAGTTCTACTGAGGATTCTCCTTTGAGTTGATGGCCCGTGAGGTAGGTATTGTGGGAAGATTCTATGTAATAGTAGGAGAGGGGTAGCTGCAATTCTTTTATGTTCTCCTGTGACTCATCATTTTTTGAAGCAAAATTATCTTTATCCATCAGAAACCTAGATGAAACACATTTTCTTAAGATCACATGAGAGCAATGTATACTCTTAAATAACAGATAAAAGATAATTTAAAAGTTACCTTGAAAATCCTTCAAATGACATTAGACCCTGATGACACATACCGATGTTAGGCTCGAACTTCTGCAAGGAATTTTAAAAAAAAATGTTACTTAGGCAAAGGAAACTAAGAGGGAAAAAAACTACCACATCATTTTTAAAGCGGTTCTGTTTTCATCAGGAAACATCTAAGCCAAATATTTGAACGAATTTAGTAATGTAGCAATAACATGTAGTGTTCAGTCCAAAAGAAAATATTTATTACACGTGAATTTATTACGCTAAGCATATTTATTTAGGAGAAAAAGGGGAGTAAGAGAAAAGAATGAGGCTGATTTATATGCAAATAACATCTATCCATTTATCTCTGTGAAAATGTGGATTATAACAGCAGCTACCATAAAGTCGGTGGGAAATGAATGAGATGATTGGCATGCAGCATGTTCTGTGCCTGGAGCCAATGATGTTACAGTGAGGGCTCAGCAGTGTGATAAACTCTCACCTTTTTAGAGGTCAGATCCAATTGCTGACAGCTAAGACTCTGATTCCCAATCAGGGGACGAAACTAATTCTGTTGCACATGACGCAGGCACACAGAAGTCTCACCACCCTACTTCCTGCCACACTCTAGTCTAAACCACCCCCACATCTTGCCTGGGCTACTGTGAGAGCCTCCTGACCAGTCTCTCTGCTTCCATTCTTCACCAGCACAGTTTATTTCCAATGGGGTCACAGTGACGTCTTAAAAATATAAATCATGTTACTCTCCCACTCAAAAATTTCCAAAGGCTTCCCATTTCACATGGACTAAAGTCAGCCTCTTTCTCATGGTTCAAAAGGCCTCCATGTTTGGCCCACCAGTACCATCTGAAGTTGTGACTGCCGTTCTCTGCCTGCCTTATATAGCTCCCACTACACTCACTTTTTTGTTATTCTTCACAAACCTTGACCTTGCTCCTGCTTCAGCCTTGGAGCTTGCCTGTCTGCTGGTTTGGCATGTTCCTTCATCTGAACCTCACGTGACTTTACGCACTGAATGCCCAGTCCGAATGCCACCTCCTCATAGGGGCTTTTCCTTACCCCTCCTTGGCCTCCCTGCATCACCCTGTCTCGTTACTCTGCTTGACTTTGCTTATAATCTGTTATTACCTGCAGTTACACTACATCTTTTTGCTTATTGTCTGCCTCACCCACTAAAACATAAGCTGCATGGAGGGCCAGCACTTTGATTTTATTCTCTACTATACTTCTAATTTCCAGAACAGTGCACAGTAGGAGCTAATAAATGTATGCTAAATGACAAAAGAGGTGGAAACCCTACACTAACTCTATTATATGTGCCAGGATATGAGAAGAATTCACGCATTGATTCTTTACAATAGTCACCAAGTCAGAGACAGCCGAGACCAAGGTTGACATATGTTAAAGAACAATGATGTACTTGGCCTTTCAAAAACAAAACAAAATAGAAACAAACAAATAAGCCTGTTTCTTCCTGACAGGAGCCTTTTGGGAAGAAGTATAGAAAATGTTCAGCAGCAAGTTACTAGAGTAGTTACAGCCACTACACACGTGCACTACAGCAGTGACAGCCACTACACACATGTACACAGACAAAATGGGCACAAACCTGGATGATGCTGAGGATTTCATCATAAGTGCAGTGTTCTCCTTGGCAGTTCACTAGGAAGTCACTGAGCTGGAGTATGCCAATCCCAAATATGCCCAGGGATGTGCTCTCAATCCCAGTGCCATTCGTCACAATGCTTGCGGCGGCAATGGCATCAGATATTTGCCTCTGGTTGTCTGACAGCTGCTGTTTACTCTTAATGAACAACCCCAAGTCTGAGACATTTCTGGTCAACAAATCTGAAACAGAGCCATTACAGACTATGGACTCTTTGTCTAGCCAGCTTCGTTCACAAAGTTCATTTTGGAAATGATGATGTCACAAAATTATTAAACTGGAGAAACTTTTTACTAATCTTGCCACACAAACCATGAAGCTTAGTGTTTATTCCTTACTTCATAGAGTTTAGGGACTAAAAAACAAATTGAGGAATACCTAAAACTAAGAAAGAGCTAAGCTGAGAATATTGAAATCTCGTAAACTTTAGTACTCCATTAGAACTCTATAGATTCAGTTGGGGATTGGAGGTCAAATTCAGATTTTTATTTCATTTTCTCAGGATTGAACCCAGGCCCTCAAATATGCTAGGCAAATGCTCTACCACTGAGCTATATCCCCAGCCCTTTTTGTTTACGCTTTAAATTTCTGAGACAAGGCCTCACTCTGGTGTTCAGGGTAGCCCAAAACCTATCATCCTCCTGCCTCACCCTCTCAAGTAGCTGGAATTACAGGTGTGTACTACTTCACCCATCTCCAGATTTTGGTTTTCAAGAATACCTATTTCTACATTTTTTTTTTCATACACACTGAAAATATACTCTTAAATTATATTTTTCTACACTTTAAAACTGTGACTATAAGTATTTATATATAGGTTTTTGTGTGAATACAACCTTTTAACTCATGTAGGTAAATTATCAAAGAGCACAATTGCTCAATCATATAGAAAGTGTTTTTTCATTTACCAAAAAACTGTCATAGCATCTTGCAAAGTGGCTGTACCATTTTACATTTCCACAAGCAATGTACTAATGTTCTAACTGTTCTACATTCACATCAACTTTGGTGTGGCCAGTCATTTTAATTTTAGCCACTTTGGAAGATACTCTGGCATGTTCTTTCTTGTTTTTGTTCTTTCTTTTCTTTTTTTTTTTTTCTTGTTTTTTTTTCCCCCTATGTAGCCCATGCTGGCCTCAAACTCATTACATAGCCTAGGCTGGCTTCAAATTCTCAGTGATCCTCCTGCCTCAACCTCCCAAGTGCTGGGATTACAGGCATGCACCGCCATGCCTGGCTGGCAGTTTCTTATAGAACCAAACATAGGCCTACCATGATCTAAGAACTGGCTCTCAAGTATTTACCGCAAGATTCAGGTCTACACACAATCTCACATACCAGTGTTATAGTAGCCTTATTCATAATAGCTAAAATTTGGAAGCAACTAAGATATCCTTTAGGAGGTGAACAGATAAGCAAATTGTAGTAATGCACATAATATGATATTTTTTAGTTTTCAAAAGAAATGAATCCTCACCTGCAAAAAGGTACGTGTGGGGGTATCTTAAATGTACATTGCTAAATGAAAGAAGCCAGTCTGAAAAGTCTGCATACTATATGATTCCAATGATAGAACAGTCTGGGAAGGGCAAAATTATGGAGACAGTAAAAAAGATTACTTGTCAGGGATTTGGAGGAAAGAAGGAAGGGATAAAGAGGTGGAAAAGATATTTTCAGGATAGTGAAACTATTCTGCACGATACTGTTATAGTGGCTACATGACGTTATACATTTGTCAAAACACACAGAATGTACAACACAAAGTGTGAACCCTAACATAAATTATGGACTTTAAGTAACAATAATGTGTCAATATGAACTCCACTGTAACATGTACCTCACTAATGCAAGCTATTACTAATCAAGGAATATGTGTGTGTGTGTGCGCGTGTGTGCGCTCACACGCGCACGGGTGTTAAGGTTAGTATATGTGAACTCTGTGAGGTACTTTTGGCTCATTCTTCCTAAATGTGAAATTCCTCTACAAAATAAGATGCAACAATTTTTTTAAAGTGTAACTATTTGACTAACGAATAAGTATGCATATTTTAACAGCTGTCCAAAAAGAGTCTAAGGACAACGTCAGTTTATAAGTAATTATGAAGAAACTGCATCAAAAAGAGTTTTTCTTTGCTCTTTTGTGTTTATAGCTCCAGCAGGAACCTAGGAGGAAAATAACAAGTTTTAAATGTACGGGTATCTAAAAACAGGTCTGAGTAGTGGTGGTGGTGCTGGTGAGTGGGGACGAGGAGAGAAACATTCTGTTTTATACGGTAGAAAACATGTCCTAGATATTCAAAGACTTTCCTGTGAAAGAGGAGGCACCTACTGCCCTGGCATTGAGCAACCTTCTGACTGTAGGTAGGAACGAGACCGGTATTCCTCACCTACAGAACTTCATATATCTCACGGACATTTGGAAATGGTTGGGAAAGGGTTTTTGGTTGTCAGAATGATTGGAGTGCACTTAAATATCCTGGAATAACGTGCAGAACCACACAAAGATGAGGTCCCTCGTCCGACCTGACCATAGTACCTTCCCCCAGGACACCAAGTGACCCCTTGAGAAATTCTGTGCTTCACCAGGCTCCAGGTAACAGGGTGACATGTGGGACAGGGTGAGGGTTTGCAACTGGGTCACTGACCTTGATTTTTAGACAGAAAGGTCTCAAATGGAAATCCTAAAATGTTAAACAAACCTAGGTCAGGCTGACAGTCACTGGTGCTTTCCTCGATTGTCAGGTTGGTGTAGAGGGGGGCTGATTCGGAGCCTGATCGGTTGCAGGGCACAGAGTAGACATCGAAGAGATCCTTCAGGTCCTTGCGGCTCCTCACACTGAGTAAGGGATGGGACAAGAGCTCCCATTTAGTACTGTTATAAAAACGTAGGCCTGAGAAAAAGTAAGCAGGACTGGGCCATACCTGAAAGACTTGAACAGCTCAATAAATTCAACAAAACTCATGTTACTGTCTGAAACTATGAAGCTCTGGAACCCCTTCATTCCGCCTTTGATGCGCCCATGCCAACTGCTGCTGCTCCAGCCACTGCAAAAAGACATTTCAGGTTGCCACTATTTATCTGTACTCTCTCTCTCTACTTCCCTTAACCCAGATTGTGTCAGAGGAAATAAACACCCCATACTGAAGGCACTTTGTTTTTGCAGCCTGCTTAATAAGGGTACAAGAGTGAGTTTAAAATTTCTCAGCTGATCAAATGGTCCTTTGAAATCAGAGATCAGCGGGAGGAAATAAACTCCTAAATTCAGGGCTTCTCAAGAAACATCCTTTTTTTAAAAAAAAGCTCCAAATCATTCAATTATAATTTATGGGAGGTCACACATTGTCTTTTCTATTTTTTTAAATTACAGAAACACATTTAAGAGGAAAGTTCTGAGCATATCAATGTCTTCTCTTTTTGTTTTAAACTGGTTCTTCAATGAAAATAGTAAAGAGTTTCTAAGATTAATGGAAAATGTGAGTCAGAAAAATATTAAGAATGGAAAGAAGCCAATTCTGCCTAGGCTTATATTTGCACCTGCTAAAGCATCCATTCAGTATAAAAGAGCCAGTCAGCTCAGTCAAAAATTTAGTTTCACTGTTTTAAGTTTAAAGTTTTCTATACTGATTTCCCAAATAATAATAAAAAATGTTTTGTGGGTAGGATCTTACTCTTTTTTGTCTTGGATTTTTGGGGAAATATTTCAAATATATAGGAAAATACAGAGCCTATTATAAAGATAGGCAATCTAATCTCCATCTTACTAACAATGTTTGCTGACGGAAAATTATTTTGTGTTGACATCTGAAAGTCACCCCCTTCAATGGAAGACAGATACATAGTTCTGTGGAGGCAGAGGTTACTGAAAGTCATTGTGGAGTGAGAAACATAGGCTTTGGGTTCAGGAAGAGGGAAAAGTTAGCTTTATCACTTGCATTTAAACAAGCGATTCCTGATCTTTCTTCTTTCTAGTGACCAGTCTGTCTCCTGTCTGTAGGAATCATGTCTTTTTGAATCTAGGAACCTATGTCCCCTCTTTCTCCTCCTGATTTAGGACTCAGTCTTGATTTCTCCTAAACAGTATTCAGGCTGATTTTCCTTTTCCTGCCTTGTATTTTCCTTCTACTTTGGAATACTTGAGTGGCCACTCATTCCTGTCCTCCTGCGTTGGGCCCTCTGACCTTGATTCTCTTTCAAACATTTTTCCTCTCTTATTCTTTGTCTTTCTCCTGCTCATGAGTGATAGAAATAGTGATTAAATAAAAGTCACTTAGTCCAAGTAATGTGTTTATTTCATTTACCCAAAGTCCTATGTAGGCCTAAATTCTAACAGAAGAATTCTGATAATTTGTAACTTTTACTTTTGTTATAAATGCAAAGGGAAGGGAATTAAATCAGACCCAGTGTCTGCTCAGACCCACTCCTTTGTGTGAAAAAGTGAAGAGCAGCTGTTTAATTTTGGTTCTTTTTGGTACCTCTGAATTTCTTAAACTTTATTTGAAATATTTAGGTGGAGGGAGATGGAGTCATATTTTGGTTCCCTTTGGAAGCCTTTCATTTTTATATTATTTCTTTTTCTGAGAGGATAAATTTTGTTTTGAACCTGGAATTTGTATGATTCTTGTGTGATAACTTAATATAATACCAGATTTAGAATTATATCTAAACATATCTAACTTGCTACAATATTTGCATTCATTTGTCCAGGCAAGCATAATGGAAAAATTATATGAAAAAAGTATTAAATATATTTCACCAGATAGCAAAGTGTCAGTAGCTTGCATTAAAACTTTATTCTTCACTTAAGGCAGTGCTATCCAACATAATTTTTGCAAATACAGAAATGTCCTCTGCCTGTGGCTTTCAGAATAACCATGAGCCACTTGTGGCTGTGGAGAACTTGAAATGTGATACTGTGACTAAGGAACTGATTTTTGAATTTAACTTGATTTAGATTAATTTATCTTTGAATTTAAATACTCTTATGAGGTTAGTGGCTACAGTACTGAACAGTGCAGATTTACAGAATCACAGATTGGGTTTGGTTATTGCTAATCACCTTTGAAGGACTGGTCTTTCAAATAATTAGGGGCAGTTATAATAATATGAAAAAGTAGGATTATGAATCAGGAAAATTAGAATCATTTAACCTGGGAATTTTTAGTCGTTAATTTACCCATAAGTCAAAATTAGAGACAATCTTCCAACAGATTATTGGAAGCACAGCACGTGCCCTTCTATACAACTGAAACGATGAGAAGGGCCCTTCTGTTTTATCATGTTAAGGCCCCACCTGGACGGACTCTTGTTTGAAGAAGACAGCACAGGGGAGGAGACTGGCCTGATGGGAGATGATGCTGGGGTGGCCAAGTTGGGGGACCCAGCTGTGGTCAAAGAGTGAGCTCTTCTGGAAGGGAGAGGGTTGGGAGGGCCAGTGACGGCATTAGCCTCTGTGAAGGTGAAAGAGAGAAAAAAGACAAGAAATCAAGTACAAACTGAAGATGCTTCTGGATGTCTGAGCAAACCAACATATGCAATCTGTTTCTATATAAAAAACAGTTTCTATATAAGAAGCATCAAAATATTTTTTTGATGCATAAACTGATTTGGTGGGTTCTCAACTGGCTACATTGCACCATAACCTGGGAGTTAAAAAAAAATACATATATACTCAGGCTCCCCCCAGAGAATATCTACATCAGTTGGTCTTGAGTGTGGCTAGGACATCTAGACATATTTTCTAAAGCTCTATTATTCAGCCAGTGCTGAGAATCACTGATCTATCAAATTGTATCTTGTATATCTAATATTCCCTGCTGATAATGATAAATTCATTAACTATACCTGTAGAAGAACCTTTTAGGTTAAAAACAAAGGTATGTCTAGCAAGGTAATTTTAAGAATTTCACAATAGTTAAACCACAGCTTAAACCCAAATGTGTATTTCCCCTCTACAGGTAAAAAAGAAAGATCTCAAAGGTGAACAGTTGTGTTACCTGATTCTTCCTGCTCATTAATGTCTTGAGGATCAGAACCACTCCGACTTCGACCCTCTTTTTGCATTTTGGCTTTTCGGGTTGTCATCTCATCATCAGTCGCCTCTCCGCTCTCACCCTGGAAATGCAAAGCTCACGGTGACTCCCAGCCTATTTCCCTCCCATCGCTGTGTTAGCTCAGGTAGGACTCTAGTTGAACCTACTCATCTTCAATACTATCTCCTCCTGGTAAGTGATAGAGACCTATGTTAAGGTGCACGAAGAATTCTCATGTCACGTTATCTAATTTGAGCTTCATTCTAAAGCAGCACTCCACAGGGAGGGAGGCAGAGAGAGGTGGCCCACAAACCCTGGAGTCTTTGTGTACAGACACAATTGTGAAGCAGATAAAGTTATACTAATCAACAGCCTCCCATATAAAAGAATGAGGTTTTTTTTAGGTAGCTATGAACAATATTATCATGATATAGTGATAATATATTATATGATTTATAATATAGAGTGATTATATATTTTAAATTGTGTTGTATATATAACATTATGGACCCTTAGGGCCTTCATAAATGATTTCTCTTCTAGTCCTTCTCTATTCCTCACTGAATTCATACTCCAGCCCCTGAGAATGGCATGTGCTTCCCTGAACAAGCCAAGTCTCCATGAAGCTCCACTGTCTCCTCTGCTGGGGTGCTTCCCTTTGCATAGTCTGTTTGGTAAGCTCCTATATACTCTTTTTTTTTTTTGGTTTTTTTCCCCGGTACCGGGAATTGAACTCACAACCTTGTGCTTGCCAGGCAGGCACTGTGCCGCTGAGCTAAATCCCTAGTCCCTGTCCTATATACCCTTTGAGACCCATCTGTCAACTGCTCTGTGAGGTCTTCTCTGCTTGTCTCTTAGCTTCTATTTTCTTTTTTTTTTTTGGTTTTTCTCCGGTACTGGGAACCAAACTCATGACCTTACACTTGCCAGGCAGGCGCTGTGCCATTGAGCTAAATTCCCAGCCCCTGTCCTATATACCCTTTGAGACCTATCTGTCAACTGCTCTGTGAGGTCTTCTCTGCTTGTCTCTTAGCTTCTATTTTCCTTCTCTCTGTTCTTATAGGACTATGCAGATGCTTGACAAGGACTTTTATTTAGATTGCACTATTTGTTTATATCTCTGTGTCCTTCTATGAACCTTGTTGTTTCCCTGGTGCTGTCTTGGTTCCTGGCTTGGGCCCTGGAACCCGAGAGGTATGTGGCAAACCCTTGGACTACCTGTTTTATACCTCACCTTGTCCCCAACTCAAATGATATAAGGTGGCTTATGGGTGATACAAACCACAAAAGTCCTGGAAGATTGGGTGTGATGCTTAATAAACAAATACGACTCTACCCTCATGAGGATTTTCTTCTTTTTTTTGGTGGTGCTCATGCCCAGTGTGTTGTTTCTCTGCATATTGGGCTTCTCAGCATTCTTTGCTGATGTTCCAGGGCTGGGGTTTCGAGTACTCCACCGTCTGCCACCAAACAGCTCTACTGCATGAGCCAAAGTTGGGCCTTCATACCGACCATCCTCCTATAAAAGAAGCGCATGCTGAACACACAAGGCAGCAGCAAGCAACCGGAAAGTAAATATGTTAATGGCTACCAGTTAATTCCCAGAGGCGGAAGCACATAGGCAGCCACAGAGAAATAATGATCTGACCACCCAAGTGGCTGTGTCTTCTAACTCTCTGTCCTCTGACCCTCTGTTATGTGTCCTGGTTATGTCCCTGATCAGTTCCAGTGGTGTGCTTTGAAATGTTAAGTAGGAAAAATATATTCCCCATCCTAGATTCAGAGGTTATATGCCAGAACTAACACTATAGGAAAATTCATTAAGACTTATTTTATAAATCAGGGCTTTGAAGGACTTACTAGTGTTGAGGGTAGGGAACAAGATGTGACTGTTTTTAAACAAAATTTAGCTTCTATCTGTCTGTTATTACACCATGCCAGGTAGATTTTTCACCTTGTTTGATGCTGTTTCAATATAGGTACATGGCTTATGTGGCCCTTGGAGCTTCTCAAGCAGTTGAACTGCATCTTCTTGAGTGATTGCAATCTGACAGTGGACGGAGAGCCTGTGGGACTCAGGATGTCCTGCGCAGTAGGATACTGTGAGCATGTATCAAGTTAGGTATTCAGGGAACGATCTTCTAACTTCATAGAGCTCTCTCTTTTCCTGGGGTTCACTACAAATGTTCCTGTTTATTCTCCTTTGCTTTCCTATTACTCTTTCCAATGGATCAATTACAAATGCTTGTATTTGAAAGTACTTCACATACATCCACTGCGTAATGGAAAGCTAATATTGGAAAGATTATTTTTATTTTCAGTGTGAGGATTTCTCAAACTGAGAACAAAGAAATGTTCTAGGACTGTTAACAGAGGTTTATAAAAATTCAAAAGTTTTCTCAAAAATTTCTTTACCTTACAGGTAAATTTAAGTAGTTTTTTTTATTAGGTATCCCAGGGCATGTGCTAACATGTATTATAAATCACTTAATGAGCCAGGCATGGTGCTGCATGCCTATAATCCTAGCACTTGGAAAGCTGAGGCAGGAGGATTGCCAGTATGCTGGCCAACATAGTGAATTAAAAGCCAGCCCAGACTATATAACAAGACCCTGTCTCAAAAACCCCCCACTTAATGAGAATGCTAATGCTATATGATGCAAAGCCAGTTTTAATTAATATATCTAAAATGGAAACTGAAATACCTGCTTCCTGTGAGTTCTACAGGGAGCTCTCAGTGTCATCAGCTATTTGGAAGAAAAGTCTTCAGGAGCCATCATATGCATTGATTTTTAATTAGGATTATTCCTCAGCTTTTTCAGAAGCAGAAAAATCCATCACACATGGAGATTTAACATTAACAAAAGATCCATTTGACCCTTGTTCTTGAGGTATTATGTCAGCATCTTGGGGCTCCCTGTGACAATTTGGGAGATGGCCTATGTGAGGAGAAAGCGCTCAGTCTGTTGGCCTTTTCCACTTTTTTCTTCTGAAAGAAATCTTGAGTCCAAGATAGGCTGCCTGTCTTTGCAAATGGCACCTGTAAAATGACGTTTTGAGGAAGAATATCACCTGCATTTCCAAAGTGACCGGGGTACCTGGAGCTGTTTGGACTTAACTCTGCTGCATCCTAGTGGGGGTGCTGTGGGTTGTATTTGCAGCTGGGCTGGACCGAGTCTTCCCTAGATCGCCTGGCCTCTGCCCCAGCAGTACCTGTTACCTCTTCATTAGCTGTCCTCAGTCTCAGCTGGTGCCTCCTTCAGCAAAAGCTGAAGGTTGCCAGGCAAATGAGAAACCAGGTAGGTATATGCTATGTGTTAGTTCAGTTACTTATGCTATAAGCTGGAGAAGGAAACAGACGGGGCAACTGGAGAAGGAAATAAATGGAGCGATAAAAATACATAGGCACTGTGACAGGGATTGTAATTGAGCTCAGAGATTGGTTTATGTCCATATGTGATGACTCTGAGTGATTCTGGAAGGCTGAGGAAGAACTTTAGTTAAAAATCAGTACTTATAATCGCTCTTGAACACTTTTCTTCCGGCCACCCACACTGAATGTCCCCTGTGGAACACATAGGAGAAAGGTATTTTGGTGTCCATTTTGGGTGAATTACTAAAATGGCTTTGTGCTATGTAGCTGTGACATGCATGAACAGATAGGCTTATCTACTTACTAACTCATGCATCAAGTTAGTTACCCAGGATATGATCTCTACTTGTAATCATCATGTGGGTGTGGGGAAAGGGAAAAGAAGGCTCATTACATATATGTGTCTCTACAAATTTCCCAGGGAGGAAATGTTTTTAATTGTCAGAAACATTTTAGAACTGTGAAAATACATGAAATCAGCCTTTTGGGTAATTTGGGTAATTTCTAGTGTAATTTAAGTCATACTTCAATTTGTTCTGTGACACTAAAGTGTTTTCCCATTGAAACAGAAAAGTGTGATAATAAAAAGGGAATTTACTTTGATAGAATGTATTTGACAGTGTCAGTTCAACAATTTACCAGCAGCCGGTACTGTCCTCCTTGACAAGAATGCTATTCTGGTTATATCTGTATATCTCTTTGTTACCTCATTTATCCCAGCCCTATTACCATTCTTCGCTGGAGATTTAAAGCACGTAGTAAGTTGGGGCTAAGGAGAAACTCACCGAACTTAAGCAGCAGACTGTGAAACACTGCCTGCTGGGGGGTGCTGCCACTATAAACCTGGTGAGGAAGAATCTAGGTAGGAATTTTTCCACATTTGGAATGTTTCCTTTAACCTTAAAAGCTCTACAGTTAGGAAGCAATACACAGTAAGTTAAATAGACTCTCCAAGAGTCACATAGTATGTCAGGTAAGGAATCAGAATTTCAGTTTCCAAAGGGAAAGCTTCTAGTGTATCAGCTATTTACTAACTAATAATAAAACCATGTGGATCACAGTAATTTTGACTAAAACCTTTGGCCAATGGAATTGCTTGTATTAACTGGTTTCTCTCCAGATATAAGAACTATAATAACTGTAATCACTATTTTCATAACAAAATAATTACAGGAACCTAACACGAACAGATACTATTCTTTACACATATGAATTTGTACTGTGGTTTTGTATGTATTAACTCAGCTCTCACAGCCATCCTATGAACAACTATTGGTATCATTTCCATTTTATGGAAAAGGGAACTATGGCACTGAAAGGCTGAGTAAAAGCTATACAAGGACACACAGGTCGTAGGAGGCTGAGCTGGGGACTGGGACTGGTGGAACTGGGATTGTGTACTCTTGAGGGTCCCACTACTCAAGAGAGAAATAGTGCTCCTCTTACCTGGTAGAGGCTGACATACTGTTTCCGCAGCCACTGCTGTCTTTGGTCAGGGAACTTCTTCATCTTTCTCACGGCTCTAGTGAGTTCCAACAATCCGCTGAACAGCATTTTGGCTGTGTGCTTTGGTGCCACAAAATGCAGTAATCTATTGTCTGTGGTCTGAAGTCCATAGAGCAGAGTCACACCAGTCTCTGACAGAAATATGTTACTCAGTTTGTTCTGAACACACACAGTGTGTAGATCAATGCCAGGGTGTCCCATATACACAGCCTTTGCTGAAAACAGATCTAAGACCCCCTCTGTCAGGCTGCTTAATCCAGCACTGCCCAGTAATGGGAACTTGCCAGGCTCAGCTGTGTTGCTGAGCACACTAAGTTTTGCTTTAGCACTAGCTGGGGAGGCAGTGGGGGGCTTCATCCAAGTCAACGTGCTATTGTCTGGCTGAAGCTGCAGGAAGCAGCGAGCAGAGAGGTGCGTGTCTTGGTCATAGTGGATGACTGTGGCCCCTTGCAGCAGGAACTGGTGCACATCAGCTTGGATGGACAACACGTACCATGGGATAAGCTCTGTTCCGTGGTCGAAGGCCTTCTGTGACTCCTCTGACCCATGAGGGTCGCATTCTTTGGGCTGCTCAAAGATGTCATTTTCTGAATCCAGCAAATCTCCAATTATAAACCTAATGGAAAGAGACATAAATTTGGCCTGTGTTATAACTGGAGGGAGACCAAGCCAAAGCCTTTCACTCACATTAGACTTTATTTTTCATCTTGTTATGGATTCCAATTAGCAAAGGAAATATAAAATGCTAAATGTTACAGAATAATTTTTTTTGTTTTTTTGTTTTTTTGTTTTTGTTTTTTTTGGTTTTTCTCCGGTACTGGGAACCGAACTCACGACCTTGTGCTTGCCAGGCAGGCGCTTTGCCGCTGAGCTAAATCCCCAGCCCCTAGAATAATTTTTTAAATAGTAGAATTCTAAAACCTTATATTCGCAAGGTATCTGATCATACGCATAAGAAAGGAACTAACAGGTGAATTATTGTATAATTATCAACAATAACCTTCATTATATGTTAGTTTTTTCTCTTGTCAGAAACTTTGTTGAATGCTTTCAATACAGTTTTGTACTAAATCACTCCATCTTACAAAGTTAATTTACTATTCTGTTTTTCACTTGTGAGGAAACTGTGGTTCAGAAAGGGGAAGTTCAGGTTACTCAGCTCAGAGGAGGCCTAGCCAAGGTGGGATTCTGGTCTGTCTAACTCCTGAGCCCCAGATTACTAGGTTCATTTGCCTTCCAGTTAAATAATAAACAAAAGTTATGACTTTACATACTTAGGCTAAAATAGACAAAAATAAGACTAACAGACAAAAATAAGACTAATATGCTAACATGAGAAGCCTGATAAAAATAAAATTTGATTAGTTCAAACATATTCAGTGAGAAATATGGCCATGGTAGCTAGACAACTAAGGATATCTCGCTTTGACTCAACCTTACATGTTTACTTTCTGTCTCTGTCTGTCTCTCTCCATATACTCATACTCATCTGCTTAAAAAATTTAGGCCAAACCTTTCCTGAATCAGGAACCTACTAGGAAGATCTGTGGGGAAGGCAAGGGAGACCTTACTATCTCCATTCTATCTGGTCATTTAGGTAGGAACCGGCCCTACAGAGACTTACTCTCCGTAAAAGCATAAAAAGCATAAGAAGTTGTTGTTAAGATCAAGGTTTCTATGGCTTAACCCACAGACATCACTAGCAACGTGGTGGATAAAATGGTAAAGGAGCTTGTCCATGTATCTCTGGGAAGGAAGGTTTTCATTGTCTTAAGGCACTGGGGCAGCCTACTGTTTCTTGACAAGCCATGAGCAGCAGCCCTGGGCTTTGCGGGCTTTTTTTATAGAATGTGGCCCTTGAACAAGATCCCAATAGCAGCTTCTTTTTCCTTGCCCTTCAGAAATGCATATTCTTAGGGAAGATGTGTAAAAGGCATATCAAATTTTAGTGTCCCACAAACCTGATGGTCAGAAAATCCTTTTCAAAGTTCCACACCAGAGACAACTAAAAACGCCTAGTGAAATAAAATGCATACATCCATTTTGGTGCATTTATACAATGTAATTCTGTACATCAATGAAAATGAGTAAGGCATAGCTAAGTTTATGCAGCAACACGGACAAATTTTAAGCAAGCTCCCCCACCCCCCAAATACACACAGTATAATTACATTTGTGTAAATGTAAATTTCAAAACTAGACAAAACTACTTTATATTCTTTAGGGATGCAAATTAGTGGAAATACTGTAAAGCAATGCAGGATGTTGTCATAACATTCATATTCGCATGGGCTTTTCTCTAGGGCAAAAGGTGGTGACACAATTGAGAAGAGAAACAGGAGGTTCCTAATTGCTGGAAATGTCCTAATTCTGGGTGGAAGTGATGTATACACTTTGTTATTGTTCAAATACATTAATTTTTATTAGTATCTATTAATTTTATAAAATATTAGTTTTTAAATGTACATATTTTGATCATATCCATTTCTCTTATCCACCCCTGGACCTTCCTCCTATTAGTCCCATCCTCTTGTCTAATCAGTCTCTTTTCATGTCAGTTTTTTACATTTCACATATGAGAGAAAATACACAGTTATTTGTCTTCTGAGTTTGGCTTATTTTGCCTAACATGATGACCTCCAGTTCTATCCATTTTCCTGCAAATGACAAAATTCCAATCTTCTTCATGGCTGAGGAATACTTCATTTCTTTACTCACTGATCTGTATATTTTTACCCAGCCATCTGTTGATGCACACCCAGGCTGGTTCTGTATCTGGATTCTTGTGACCTGTGCCTCAATAAACATGGATATGCAGATATTCTTCTGGTATGCTGACTTCAATTCCTTGAGGAATACACTAATAAGTGGTACAGCAGGATCAATGATAACCCTATTTTTAGGTATCTGAGAAACCTCCATACTGATTTCCATAACGGCCTTATATTAGCTTTCTGTTGCTGAGATCAAAGACTCGACATACACAGTGTAAGGGTGCAAGGACTCATGGTTTCACAGGCTTCAGTCTATGGTTGGATGGCTCCAATATAATAACATGAAGTGAATGGTGGAGCAAGAGAGGAAGAGGCTGGGAATCAGATACAGACTCCAAGGCCAAACCTCCACGACCCATCCAGGCAAGCAGAGTATGCTTCAGTAATTCCCTAGGTGGGTTCCAAGCCAATCAATTGGCAAATTTAGCTTAACCAAATTTAGCTTAACCAGGGCTGTAATACTTCACATTCTTATTGTAGGTAGAAGCCCTCAGCCTCTTGCTCACAAGCATTTTTTCGTGTGTGTGTTGTTGATGATAGGTAGCCATTGTGACTGGGATGAAATGGAATCTGAATGTAGTTTTGATTTGTGTTTCCCTAATAGTTAAAAATGTTGAACATTTTTTCATATACCTATTGAACATTTACACTTCTTTTTTTTTTGTTTTGTTTTTCTCCAGTACCAGGAACCGAACTCACGACCTTGCGCTTGCCAGGCAGGCGCTTTTGCCGCTGAGCTAAATCCCCAGCCCCCATTTACACTTCTTTTGAGAAGTGTCTGTGTACTTTGTCCATTTATTGATTAGACTATTTAATTTTTTGAATTATCTATATATTTTCGATAGCAACCCTCTGTTGGAAGCGTATAGCAAAGATTTCCCTCCCATTCTGTAGGCTGTTTCTTCACTCTTAATTTTTTCCCTTGCTGTGTAGAAACTTTAATTCACTGTAGTCCCATTTGTTGATTTTTCCTATTATTTCTTGTTTTACTGGTGTCCTATTCAGAACATCCTTGTCTGTGCCGATGGTGTTTTCCCTATGTTTTCTTCTATAGTTTCAAGGTTTCAGATCTTATCTAAGTTTTGATCTATTCTCGATTGATTTTTTGTACCACATGAAAGATAGGGATCTAATGTCAGTCTTCCACAAGTGGATATCCAGTTTTCCAGCACCATTTGTTAAAAAGGCTGTCTTTTCTCCAAGGTATATTTTTGACTCCTTTGTCAAGAATCAGATGGCTGCAGTTGCATGGGCTTGTTCCTGTGTCCTGTCATGTCCTGTCCTGTCCTGTCCTGTCCTGTCCGGTCCTGTCCTATCCTATCCTATCCTATCCTATCCTATCCTATCCTATCCTATCCTATCCTATCCTATCCTATAATATCCTATCCTATCCTATCCTATCCTACCCTAATTTTATTCCTCTATGTGTCTATTTTTATTCCAGACCATGCTGGTTACTCTGGCTTTGTAGTATACTTTGAAACTGGGTATTGTGATATGTCAAGTCTTGCTCTTTTTGCTTAGGAGTGCTTCAGCTATTCTGGGTCCTTTGTGTTTCCCTACGAATTTTAGGATTTCTTTCTAGCTTTGTGAAAAATGTCACTAGAATTTTGATGATGATTGCATTGAATCTATGGATTGCTTTTTGTAATGTGGCCATTTTAATACTATTAATTCTGCTGATCCATGAACATGGGATGCCTTTCCATCTTCTAGTATCTTTTTCAATTTCTTCCTTCAGTCTTTTGTAACATTTATTGTAGAGATTTTTGACTTTCTTGGTTAGGGGAATCCCTAGGTATGTTTTTTGGTGTGTGTGTGTGTGTGTGTGTGTGTATGGAATAATTTTCCTGATTTCTTTCTCATGTTGTTCATAATAATATATGAACAATAGATGTATAGAAAAGTTATTTACTTTTTAATGTTGATTTTACATCTTGTCAAGTACATTATTTTTGATAAATTTAAAATTATAGAGAAATTGCAAAGACAATATACACAACACAAAATTTTCCTCTCATTAACATCTTACATTGTGTAGTATATTTGTCATAATTCATGAAAAAAAATTATTGCATTATTATTAATTAGTCCATACTTACTTTGGATTTCATCAGTTTTTATCTAATGTCTTTTTCTCTCCCAGGATCACACTCAAGACAATCACATCACATTTAGTTGTCATATCTTTTTAGGTTCCTCTTGACTATAATGGTTTCTCAGACTCTCCTCATTTTGATGATGTTAATAAGTTTTGAAAAATATTGATTTTATTCGTCCTTAAATTAGGATTTATTTGATATTTTTCTCAAAATTAGACTAGGTAATGGGATTTGGGGAGTAAGACACCAGAGGAAAAGTGCCATTCTTATCACATTTTTTCAGGGCACACGCTGTTGACATGACATATCCTTGCTGATGTTCATCTTGATCATGTGACTGACATAGAACTTGTCATACTTTAATGTTGCTTATTTAATTTAAAAAAGTTCTTTCCATACTGTATTGTTCAGCAGGAAGTCACTATGCCAAGTTCACACTTAGTATTTTATTTACTTCCTTGTGAATGAAAAATCTATATAAGTTATGAACTTGGAAGTCTTCTCAGAAAAGATTTGTCTATTCTCTTCCATTTGTTTATTTATTTATCATTTAAACATATCTATTTATATCAGTATGAGCTCAAGGATACTTGGATAGGTTATAATTTAATACTACCTGATTTATTTTGTGCTGTGGCCATTGGAGGATGTTCCACAATGTGTGCCTCTGACATACTCCCATCATTGTGCTTTTTGTCTTTTTTCTTTAAAACTTCCTGACTTTTGGCACAAATTTTCCA